TGTTCTTGGCATGTTCACGCGTTGGTAGACCGAGTATTAATTTAAATCTGTTTTAAATTTAATTCATTATAGGGTAAGTGAACCAGTAGTCGGCACTTTTAGGATTTTCGCGTTTTTAATCGCTCACCATTCTGAGTGGAACTTTTCAATTATTACAAAGTTAATTTATTCACATTCGGAATTTTGTATAGTTTTTGCAATAATAAATAAAGTTTTCATAACTTTTTATTGAATTTCGTAAATTTGTAGTTTTATTAAAACAATGCTTTTTTGCCAATTGGCATGTTCCAACAGTCGGCATACCATTTTTTTTTTTGTAAGAATAATTAATAATAATAATAAATTAATTCATTAAAATATAATATTTTTGTTTAGTTAAACTGATTCGACTGATTTAAGATTTCAATATTAATTAAACTTGAATTGATAAATATTTTTTTTCTATTTTTTTTTTTTTTTGCTTTCAGATAAAAAATAACAAGTTAAATATTAATAATAAGAAAACAACATCCAAATAACAAACACATACAAGAAAATAATAACAAAGCAACAGAAACAAACTTAATATCCGAAAAGATAAGCAACCATCATTTCTAATGAAGCACTTCCATCAAAGGTGCTAAGGCAAAACAAAGAGAAAAAAAACGAAACGAAAGAAAATACAACAAAATACATTTAAGAAGTATAGAATTACTAGTAAATATTAAATTAATACTAACATGCAACTGAACTGAAAGTTGCCAGAAGCTGAAACATCAAGAAAACATCAACGTCAAAATGGAAAAACTTTACAGAAACTTATAATAAAGTGTAGGGTGTTGAACGTGGAGAATACGAAAGTTTTCCTCATAGCAAGGCAGCAGCAGCAGGACAACAAAGGATTTGCCGTAAAGAGCACAGGAGGAAAGGGAAATAACAACAAAATAAATGGAATAAAATAACAATAATAAACTGTTTTGCTTTTTGGGGGCCGCCAACACCAGGGGAAAGCTTCCCCACATAAAAACAAACAAACAAGCAAACGTCAGAGTAAATGTAACCTGAAAAGCAAGCGGTTGAGTTTCGCTGTGAAACGTTGAGGAAAAAAAACTTGCCTTACACATGTGATTTAACAACATTGCAGCGATACGGTGATTTTTTCCCTTCATGGACATAAATACGCTTTGTCTGCTCGCAAAGCCAAGGAGCCAGTAAGTTGTTTTCCAAATACAAAAATAATAAGAAAAGTTATCAAGTTTTTTGCTGATCCGCCATAAAGCCCCCCGAAAATATTTCCAGGCTCCCAATCATACAACAGCAGAAGAAGAAACAGAGGCCATATTCGCAAACGAAGGTTTACTTTTTTTCTTCTTCTTCTGCCTTTTCAAACTAAAAACGAATGTAAAACAAAAGCCCAAAAGCCATACATGTGTGGCAATAAGTTGCAATTTATATATACCTGGCTATGTGTGTGCTCGTGTGTGTGAATATGTGAGTTTTGTTTAAGCCATAAAGTGAGAATATCGTTAAGGGCTTAATCCTACTGCCAAATATACACGGCTGAGAGAAAAAAGTAATCACAAAGTGTTTCGTTTACTTGACGACACAATATACAAATAAGGAATTTATTTAATAACGTTTATTTATCAAAATAAAAAAAGAAGAAGTACCCTACTACCACCAACTAAGTTTTGCAAATTGTACAGTAAAAGGTAGACCCCTAAATGCCATGAATTGCAGTGGAAACATCAAACAATGTAAAGTTAAAATTCCACGGAAAAACCAAGCAACTTTCTGAGCCAACTTTTACAGTGGGTATTTTCCATTTGCGAAAACAAATAAATCCATGAAACAGAACAAAAAGAAACGAAACACAATCCTTCGCAGACATAAAGTATAGCAGCAAGAAATCAAGTTCGAAGAATTGCTCACGGTGGCGTTGAAAGAGTTGTTACACATGTGGATATTATAATACCTAACATAAATTTTGTTGTATGTGTGAAATTTAAAAGAAGAAGAACAAGACGAAGAAAAAAACAAATTATAATAAAAATTCTTAACACGCAAACCCAAGGTGATAAAATCCCACGTGAACCATTAAAATTGAAACGATTTTTAAAGATACGAATTTAAATTTTTCTCAAAAATAGCAAAAAAAAAAAAAACAAACTAAAATCAAAGCATATTCAAAAACCCGTTAGGAAAAATATAACATTTTTATAAAATACAAATAACTAAGACAGCAATAACAGCCCACCTAACGACGCAGAGGAGTGCAGAACGAATACAGTTCCATCAAACATGTCTGTTCTCAATCACTACAGCTGTAGAAATGCAGGCGTTTTACAAGTTACACTTCTAGTTTGGTCATTACTAATCGAATGTACCAATGCGAGAATAGGTAAGTCAATTTTTAAAACTTTTATAACTAGAATTAAATACTTCCTTAAAACAAACTATGAAGTTTTTTTTGATAAAGATATGTTATGGTTTCTAGATATACAGTGCTAAATACATATGCCTTTGGATTATTTTGGATTTCGACTGCAAGTTATTTTCATCGTTGCGGTAGAATGGAAATGTTGGTATATTTTTACACAAAAGTAGTGGTACTACTACCCGTTGTCCTAAACCCCAATTTCATGCAAGATTTCGTGTCCTTTGGTTTCCTTTATAACGGTAGCAAAATCAGGAACATTTTTAGATGTTGGTCCATTTCAATATTGCGGACATTTTTAAATATCATCGGCCTAGCCCTTCTGAGCCTAATCTTACCCTAATGAAAATTTTCGTGAGGATCGGACGATAATTATACAAAATGTATACTTTAATATTACAAGTCAAATTGAAAAAATCGCATGCGATAACAAATATGAAAAAAAAAATATGTCACAAAATACTACAAAAATCTATATTAACATCGTTATTGGGATCTTTTTATGCGATTTTAGATTTTATTCTTCTATGCCAAGAGGGCATTCTGAATTGACAAAATTTGTCAAAATCGGTCCAGCCATTCTTGAGATATAAGCATTCTAGCTAACATCCTCTTCCTTTGTATATACACATTGTATATATTTCGATATATATATATATATATATATATATATATAATATATATATATATAATATATATATATATATATATATATATATATATATATATATATATATATATATATATATATATATATATCCCATGTATTTACTATCGACCTCTACATAACGGTCAAAATTGACCTGGTCGTCTATTTGTGATTTCGCTAGGATTAAAAATATTCGCGGTTTAATGAAAATTTCACTTTTATTTAACACAAATTTTATGGTCTATTTCACCCATCAAATAATACTCGATGCCCATAAAAATTGGAAGGCATCTGCTCAGCCCTAAGCTCTAGCCCCATGCTAACTTCCGCGTTGATTGGTCTATAATTGCAATCTGTAGAACAACTGTAAAATCAGGAAATTTTTCAGTTTTTGGTTCATTTCCCCTAAATATTTTTCGATCATCACCAAAAACAATAGGGTTCTATTCTGACCCTATCCCCACCCCCCCCCCCCCCCCCCCCCCCCCTTTTCAATTTCGTGATGATCGGGCCATAATTGCGACCTGTAGAGTGATTACAAATTAACATGGACAGACGGACATACATAGCTAGATTGACTCGGCGTGATAGTAAGATCCATCTCTACTTTCCTATGTGGGAAACCAATATTTCGAGCTGTTTCATTATTATTGGCCCAATCAAACAATACAAAGTGTTGTAGGGTATAAAACTGCAACCAACTTCAGACTCCTGTCATTTCTAAGCCACTCCTCCGACAACTGCTAAAATTATTCCAGTGACAGCTCATTATATTGTTTACAAGCGTACAAAAGCAGTTTGGTGAGAATTTTCCAGAAAAAAAAGTTATTCGTGATCAAGGAAGTGGAGGGAAGAAAACAGCAACATCAGCAGAAATGGTTCGAAAAGTAAAGAAGTGACTTGGTCGATGTCACAGTGGCCGAAAAATGACTCGTGAGCTGAACATATCGCAATATTCCATTCAGCAAATATTGAAAAATGAGCTCGGGGTAAAGCCATTGCAATTCCAAAAAGTGCAAGAACTTACACCACAACAGAAAGAAAATGGACTCAAAAGAGTCAATAGTTGATTCGCTTGGCCGAAAGTGGTGAACTGCCGAATTTGGTTTTTTCCAATGAGAAAACATTCGTTGTCCAGCAGGTTGTAAACAAACAAAATGATCGTGTTTACTTGACAATGAGGTCAGCTGAAAATGTGCACCTTCGCTCTTCGCTCGTATTAATCGACCGTAGCATCAGAATAAATGCCGAATATTATCGCGAAAATATTCTGGAGGGTGTATTAAAGTCTTGGGCACGCAAACATTTTGGCCACAGACCTTGGACATTCCAACAGGACTCAGCACGCGCCACCCAACAAGAATGGTTACAAAATGAGAATCCACGCTTCTTTCCCAGCCCACAATGGCCACCAAAATCTCCGGATTTCAATCCGTTGGACTATTGTGTCTGAAGTATTTTGGAAAGCAAGGTTAGCGATAAAAAAAAATACCAAAGTGTCGATCACCTCAAGCAAGCGCTTCGCCGGAAATGGGCCAAAATACCGCAGAGCAACATTCGTGCAGCGTGTGACGGTTTCATTGGCCATTTGAAGGCCATAATTCGTGCCAAAGGTGACCAATTCGAACAAATCTAAACTTGTTCTAATATTTGATTCTATTTCCGACATTTTATGTTTCATTCAATAAAATTAAAAAAAAAAATGTAAAAATTATGGCGTTTGATTTTGTTGCAGTTTTTTTTATTTCACCCTGTATGTGTTTCATCCGATTTGTTGCTTAAGTCTCTCACATTCGCATTGTGGAGTGCATCACAACAATGATCTTTGGAACCAGACAACTTATGGAAAATATAACATTTTTATAAAATACAAATAACTAAGACAGCAATAACAGCCCACCTAACGACGCAGAGGAGTGCAGAACGAATACAGTTCCATCAAACATGTCTGTTCTCAATCACTACAGCTGTAGAAATGCAGGCGTTTTACAAGTTACACTTCTAGTTTGGTCATTACTAATCGAATGTACCAATGCGAGAATAGGTAAGTCAATTTTTAAAACTTTTATAACTAGAATTAAATACTTCCTTAAAACAAACTATGAAGTTTTTTTTGATAAAAGATATGTTATGGTTTCTAGATATACAGTGCTAAATACATATGCCTTTGGATTATTTTGGATTTCGACTGCAAGTTATTTTCATCGTTGCGGTAGAATGGAAATGTTGGTATATTTTTACACAAAAGTAGTGGTACTACTACCCGTTGTCCTAAACCCCAATTTCATGCAAGATTTCGTGTCCTTTGGTTTCCTTTATAACGGTAGCAAAATCAGGAACATTTTTAGATGTTGGTCCATTTCAATATTGCGGACATTTTTAAATATCATCGGCCTAGCCCTTCTGAGCCTAATCTTACCCTAATGAAAATTTTCGTGAGGATCGGACGATAATTATACAAAATGTATACTTTAATATTACAAGTCAAATTGAAAAAATCGCATGCGATAACAAATATGAAAAAAAAAATATGTCACAAAATACTACAAAAATCTATATTAACATCGTTATTGGGATCTTTTTATGCGATTTTAGATTTTATTCTTCTATGCCAAGAGGGCATTCTGAATTGACAAAATTTGTCAAAATCGGTCCAGCCATTCTTGAGATATAAGCATTCTAGCTAACATCCTCTTCCTTTGTATATACACATTGTATATATTTCGATATATATATATATATATATATATATATATATATATATATATATATATATATATATATATATATATATATATATATATATATATATATATATATATATATATATATATATATATATATCCCATGTATTTACTATCGACCTCTACATAACGGTCAAAATTGACCTGGTCGTCTATTTGTGATTTCGCTAGGATTAAAAATATTCGCGGTTTAATGGAAAATTTCACTTTTATTTAACACAAATTTTATGGTCTATTTCACCCATCAAATAATACTCGATGCCCATAAAAATTGGAAGGCATCTGCTCAGCCCTAAGCTCTAGCCCCATGCTAACTTCCGCGTTGATTGGTCTATAATTGCAATCTGTAGAACAACTGTAAAATCAGGAAATTTTTCAGTTTTTGGTTCATTTCCCCTAAATATTTTTCGATCATCACCAAAAACAATAGGGTTCTATTCTGACCCTATCCCCACCCCCCCCCCCCCCCCCCTTTTCAATTTCGTGATGATCGGGCCATAATTGCGACCTGTAGAGTGATTACAAATTAACATGGACAGACGGACATACATAGCTAGATTGACTCGGCGTGATAGTAAGATCCATCTCTACTTTCCTATGTGGGAAACCAATATTTCGAGCTGTTTCATTATTATTGGCCCAATCAAACAATACAAAGTGTTGTAGGGTATAAAACTGCAACCAACTTCAGACTCCTGTCATTTCTAAGCCACTCCTCCGACAACTGCTAAAATTATTCCAGTGACAGCTCATTATATTGTTTACAAGCGTACAAAAGCAGTTTGGTGAGAATTTTCCAGAAAAAAAAGTTATTCGTGATCAAGGAAGTGGAGGGAAGAAAACAGCAACATCAGCAGAAATGGTTCGAAAAGTAAAGAAGTGACTTGGTCGATGTCACAGTGGCCGAAAAATGACTCGTGAGCTGAACATATCGCAATATTCCATTCAGCAAATATTGAAAAATGAGCTCGGGGTAAAGCCATTGCAATTCCAAAAAGTGCAAGAACTTACACCACAACAGAAAGAAAATGGACTCAAAAGAGTCAATAGTTGATTCGCTTGGCCGAAAGTGGTGAACTGCCGAATTTGGTTTTTTCCAATGAGAAAACATTCGTTGTCCAGCAGGTTGTAAACAAACAAAATGATCGTGTTTACTTGACAATGAGGTCAGCTGAAAATGTGCACCTTCGCTCTTCGCTCGTATTAATCGACCGTAGCATCAGAATAAATGCCGAATATTATCGCGAAAATATTCTGGAGGGTGTATTAAAGTCTTGGGCACGCAAACATTTTGGCCACAGACCTTGGACATTCCAACAGGACTCAGCACGCGCCACCCAACAAGAATGGTTACAAAATGAGAATCCACGCTTCTTTCCCAGCCCACAATGGCCACCAAAATCTCCGGATTTCAATCCGTTGGACTATTGTGTCTGAAGTATTTTGGAAAGCAAGGTTAGCGATAAAAAAAAATACCAAAGTGTCGATCACCTCAAGCAAGCGCTTCGCCGGAAATGGGCCAAAATACCGCAGAGCAACATTCGTGCAGCGTGTGACGGTTTCATTGGCCATTTGAAGGCCATAATTCGTGCCAAAGGTGACCAATTCGAACAAATCTAAACTTGTTCTAATATTTGATTCTATTTCCGACATTTTATGTTTCATTCAATAAAATTAAAAAAAAAAATGTAAAAATTATGGCGTTTGATTTTGTTGCAGTTTTTTTTATTTCACCCTGTATGTGTTTCATCCGATTTGTTGCTTAAGTCTCTCACATTCGCATTGTGGAGTGCATCACAACAATGATCTTTGGAACCAGACAACTTATGGAGCACAAAAATACATCTGTCAAATTTTATTAACATCGGGTCAGATTTGGATATAGCTCCCATATATATCCTTAAGCCGATTTCTTATTTATTATGCAAATAATGGCTAATACCAGCCCAAGTGGAGTGAAATTCGGGACTATGCTCCGATATATATTTTTTTATATAATCCTTCTCGATGTGATATCATGCACTCTATAGCAATGTTATTTGGTATAAAAGATGAAAATGTCTCCGTCGAATTTAGTGAAAATATATTCAGAATTGGATATGCTTCCCATACATTAGTTCCTCCTGAAATCAAATTATAACGGCTCTATAGCCAAATGTTGATAGGTGGAATGATCTACTTCAAATAAATTCTTTTGTTACGGAAGCTCTACTAAATATGCATAGTGGTGTAGGCTGTCACATAATCTGCCCAGCTGACTGTTGTTTTTTTTTTTTTTTTTTTTTTTTTTTTTTTTTTTTTGTGGAAATTGTTGGTTTCTTATATATGAGAATTGTTCGAATGGATGAACATAATATTGACTTCAATTTGGAATTTATTCCATTATTCATATCCGTATTAATCGATAATTGGAAAACGAGCAGTTTTAATTTATTTAAATAAATGATACGGGGTTCTCTATATCTTGAAGTTTACTTCATTCTTGACAAACCAGTTTCAAATCTACATATATCAATGGGTTTCATATGGTGGGCCCGGGCGACTTAAGCCTTAGCTTACTTATTTTCAATACATAAAGCAGATGTACCCCTTTCGAATAATCCTCTTAGATCTGGAACAATATTTTCCATCACCGATACTGGCTCCAAGGGAAAAATCAAATTTTTGTTTGTCATTCCGCTTGTAACACTTCAAAATATAGATTTTAGACCCCACAACGTATAACTATACTTGATCACCATAAACTTCTATGTCGATATAGTGATGGCCGTCCGTCCGTCTGTGGAAATCACTCTAGCTTCCGAACGAAGTGAAGTAGGTTAATAAAATTTTACTCAGATATGTGTTAGGTCTACAGGACTTTTGGTATAGTCCAAATATAACTGTACTGATAGATTAAGGTATGTAGGTGTTTCAGTCACAATTTTTAGACGAAATATCTTTGCATATAACTTTCAACATAGTTCTTAGTTTTTGTACGGTCCACATATGACTGCACCTCTCTATATTCGGTTTTTAGGTGATTTTACCAACATTATTCACCGAAATTGTTTCAAATTTCGTATTGTAAGTTCGTATTTGGTGATACAGCCTTTGACTGAAAATTGCCTATGCAGGTCCACATCTTCGTATAGGCCCCGTATAAAAGTATCTCCCTATATTCGGTATTTTGATGATTTTAGCGACATTATTCACTGGAATTGTTTAAGGTCTCGTGTTTGAATATCACAATGGCCAATGATATTGCATATACAGGTCCATGTCCTCGTATAGGCGACAATATAACAGTAACTCCCCCTATTCTGTATTTTTTATACCCTTCTCCATAGTATGGAGGGTATATTAAGTTTGACATGCCGCTTGTAACACCTTAACATATACATTTTAGACCCCACAAAGTATGTATATTTTTGATCAGCATAAAATTCCAAGTCGATTTAGTGAAGCCCGTTCGTCTATCCGTCTGTGGAAAACACTCTATCTTCCGAAGGAAATAAAGTAGATTGATAAAATTTTACTCAAATGTATATAATGTCTGCAGAACTTTTGGTATTGAAAGTGGGTCATGTAAGTTCACGTTTTGGTATAGCCCCCATATAACGGTACCTCCCGATATTCGGTACTTTGTTGGAATTTAGCGACATTATTTACCGGAATTGTTTCAAATTTGATATTTGAAGTTCGTAATGAACACTACAGCCTGCAACAGCAAATTGTCTGTGCAGGTCCTCGTCTTCGTATAGCCCACATATATCGGTACCTACCTATATTCGGTATTTTGATGATTTCTACGATATTATTTATCGGAATTGTTTCAAATTTGGTATTTGAAGTACGTTATGGATACTGCGGCCTGCGTTATGGATACTGGTATTTTTAAGATTTTAACAGAATTTGTAGCGGATTTTTTTTAATCGATCCAAATGTTGGAGGGTATTCAAAGTTTGGCCCGGCCGAACTTACAGCTTTTTTACTTAGTTTGAATTTAGAAGTATTTTTCAAAGGATTTTTTTTGTTAATTTGTAAATTTCTTGCAAAAGATGGATGGTATTCAATTCAATTTCTTGCAAAAGATGGTTCAGCCTAGAGTTATTTAAAAGTTTTGTTCCAAGTGCTGAAATACTTGGCATATTGAATATTTAATTTGTATATACGTTTTGTAGCTTATTTCATCCATAAAATGATGTCAAATTGTTTATCTTGCTCTTAACAGTAGCCTCGAGATCCAGTGAATTTTTTTTGGAATTCACCCTATAATTACAAAGAATCGATGACGCCAAAATTGGGGTTTCGGATAGGA